GTAAATAAATTAAATGCAAGAAAACAAAGATATATGACGAAAGCCTATAATCCTTTAGGATCTCCAACATAAAACATTAGGGTGACCATGTCACACTGCTTTATAACTTTTAAAAGTAAAGATGTGTTACAAGTGCTTGTTGATCGTGATCTATATGTAAATATACTCAAACTTTTTCACAAAAGAAGATATAGTATATAAAAGAACATGTGTGTGGAAATGGACCAACTAGCATTTATATATGTATATAACATACTTTCCTGGGATCTTTCTTAATCTGTGATTATCTCGGTATTTAGGAAACACTTCAACATCTATTTTACATGCATGTGCTCTTGGACTTGGTATGTCCTTATTTACTTAAGTATTTTATAACTACATAATACTTTACAAGAAATATGAAGGCATTCCTAAGATATTTGACCAATCCAAGATCTTGGATAACCCATGATGTTATCATAAGTTTCAAGATATTGATAATGAAGTAAAAGAGAAAATTTTACCAATAACAATCCCTAACACACAAACACTCATATATATATATATATATATATATATATATATATATATATATATATATATATATATATATATATATATATAGAGAGAGAGAGAGAGAGAGAGAGAGAGAAAGAGAGAGAAAAAGAGAGAGAGAGAGAGAGCTAGGTTCAAATGTGGATTGACATCTATTGTGTGGACGTATGGATAATACTATTTTGTGAGAATTACAAAGAAATCATGTTGTTCGATAATATGAATATGTTCAATCTTATATAATTATTTTAATTATTAAGCATTTTCACTAATTAACTCGTCTATAAGGTTATTATACACTTTTTTTTAATTATTCTCATTTTGTCATAATGTTATCAGGGTGTTTATTGAGTCGTATTCTGTAAGAATTAAAATAAATAAAAAACGATGAATGAGAACAAAAATAAATTAGAATTTGTGAGAATCCATTAAAATAACAATATTTCTGTTAGATTGAATGTATTCACATTACTAAACAACATATTCTCTTAGTAATTTTCATAAAATAACATTATCCACATGTCCATATAGTAGTTATCCATCCACATTATAACCTAGCCCTATATATATATATATATATATATATATATATATATATATATATATATATATATATATATATACACACACGGAAAACTGCAATAAAATCTGTAAATATTGGCCTTATAATCGATTTAGTCCATATATTTTTTTATTCAATTAAGTCTCAAATACCGGTAATCGTATTCAATTTAACCCTTTGACCCGATGACAGGTCATCCAATTTTCAAAAATTACATGTTTGGCCCATAATTCAAAATTTAATATAAATTTGGTACAAAATTTACACTTTTTGCCCAAATTTTAAATTTTGTTACAAATTTGGTTCAAACGTTTTCATTTTTGTCCAAATTTTAGATTTTTTTTTATGAATTCATCCTAATTTTAGTTTTCTTTACAACTTTTTTTCTCAAAGAATTGTTTCTAATATGTTTTTTCTTTATAAAATCATATTTATACAAAAAAAACATATTTTCAGTTAAAAATATTATATTTTCTATATAAAAACTTTTTTTAAAAGCTTTTTGTATATTAAATATCTAGTTATTAAAATATATATTTATTAAGTATATAGATATAAAAAAATGCGTTTTCGTAAAAAAATGTATACAAATGCCTATCACTTATATATATATATATATATATATATATATATATATATATATATATATATATATATATATATATATATATGCACACAAATAGGTGTGTATCTATATTTTTTTTTAGAAAATCGTATTTGTATACATTTTATAAAAACGTGTTTGAATAATTTTTTATATAATACGTGTTTGTATATATTTTATAAAATCGTTTTTGTATATATTTTATAAAATGTATACAAACACGTATTATATAAAAAATTATTCAAACATGTTTTTATAAAAAAAATATAAACAAACACAATTTTATAAAAAAAATATAGATAAAATAGGTGTTTGTATACTTTTTTTTTTGTAAATTATGTTTTTATATACATTTTTTAGAAAAAACTGATGTGTATATATTTATATACTTAATAAATATTTATTTTTATAACTAGATATTTCATATATAAAAAACTTTTAAAAAAAAAGTTTTTATATAGAAAATATAAGATTTTTAAGTGAATTTTTTTTTGTTGTATAAATATAATTTTATAACGAAAAAACATGTTAGAAACAAGTATTTGAGAAAAAGTTTGTAAAGAAAACTAAAGTTAGGATGAATTCATAGTAAAATTCTAAAATTTGGGCAAAAAGTGTAAAATTTGGACCAAATTTGTAACAAAATTTAAAATTTAGGTTAAAAGTGTAAATTTTAGACCAAATTTGTAATAAAATTTGAAATCTGGGTCAAAAATGTAATTTTTGAAAGTTGAATGACCTGTTGACCGGATCAAAGGGTTAAATTGAATACGATTACCGGTATTTGAGAATTAATTGAATAAAAAAAATATATAAGGAGTAAATCGATTATGAAATTAATATGTAAGGATTTTATTGTAGTTTTCGCATATATATATATATATATATATATATATATATATATATATATATATATATATATATATATATATATATATATATATATATATATAAAAGATGGTTCAGATGAAGTAATCCATTTTTATGTTATTATTCTTCTATAAATTTCTTATATATGTAATAATACACTAAATTCTACTATGGATATAATCATAAGATTATTCATTTATTTATTGTTGAATAATGATATAAAATAATACATACAAAATTCACAACATTATAATATCATAAATATAATGTCTTTACATCTTCATTTTATTTTGTGTCTTCATTTGTGTGTGTTTAAATTATTTTGAAAAATATAATTAATAATCAAACTCAAACACAATATTATAGAAAAAAAAAAAAACAAGAGAGTAAATTATTTTGCCATATCTTATATTGAAACTGTTGACGTCTGTTTCAGGTCTAAAATAAATTGAATTATACGAATTTAATACATTGAGAATAATATAAAACCAAATCAGTTTTTTTTTAATGTAATAATTGAAAAATATAATAATTATCAAAGTAAATGAAAACGGTTAATTAATAAATAGGGAGGATGTTCAGGAAGCATGAATTAAATTCGACTGTGGGATGGATGTGGTTGTCGTGGGATTTACGGGCATCATCCCTGTGGCTTTATTTAGTAGTACAGTACTACTCCTACCAGCAGCCATCACTACCCATTAAAACCAGAGAGAATATTAATATATTAAATATATATAATAACTTAATGAACACTTTAAATAGAAAAAAGAAATTATTGTGATAAATAAATAAAGAACCAAAAACCACCCAAAAAAGACCAAACCTATAATCTATTGTCTTCTTCTCATGTTCCTTCCTTTCTTGCTTTTTCCCATAAATCGACGCCATAAATAATTTTTTTATGAACAACATGTTTTATATCAATTTTGATTATATATTTCTCAACAAAATTTTATTTTTATTAACTTTAAGATAAAATTTCTCAAATTTTAAAGCAGTCGTGATATTATGTTTATAAACGAGTTGGAAATAGTTTAGCAATACCTTTTAAACTCATTTCAACAATCGGTATGCTTACTTTTGTTTTAATATCCATTTTTATAAATCATGTAAACTAAGGATTTATGCTTTAAAAAAGGTTGTATCATAAAAATCCTTAGGTTTGCAGGATTTTATCAATTTTGCCTAAAGTTCGATTGTATGTTAATTTTTGTCTCAAACTTTTATTAAATTGTTCGTTTCTACATTTTCACCGATTTTCCTTTAATTAGTTGATTACCTTTGCTTGTTGGAAGATACGTGGCTCGCTTATCAATTTTACGTGGATGTTAGCCCAATTCAAACACATCTTCATCTCCATTTTACCCCTTTGACCCTCAGAGTTAGTCGCATAAACTTTTCTTTTTCCAACGGTAACAAGACAACATCATTTACAAAATCAAGCTTCAATAGTGGTTCAAGATGGAGGAACAAGGAGGTAATCAAATGTGAATGTGGTGATGTTTGTGGCATATCAATCTCACAAACCTTCGGATAACTCGAAACAAAAATTTTAGGGCTACCGTAACTATCAGGTACAAACCTATATATTTTTGTAGTACATTCACCCGAGAAATTTTGGGTTGCCCTACGTTTCCAAAACGGAACATATGTATCGTCTCCCTGAATTTTCGAGTGTTATAGGTGGAAGGAGGCAACCATGATTTTTACAAATGGCTTGATGAAGAATTAGATCAAGAAATGGAAATTTCTAATACATAATAGATCAAGCCATTGTTAGTAGGGATCATACGGTTGTTAGTGGGTATATTGTTGATGGTAGAAGTAGTAGTTATTAAGATGTAGCTTTTTTTTTTGCTATCTGTTTATAGTAATGTATGAACGGAAATCAAGACCTTTTTTCTTGTATTAGCAATGTATTAAGGTTAATCCAGAATTATTACATATTTGTAATGTATTAATGGTAATTAATTGCTATTTTATTTATATGTTGCACTTGTTTTCTTGATAATGTTATTTACTTGATAATGGTACAGGTAAATTACGCTAATGAAAGTACATTGTTAATGCTTATACAGTAATGAATGTAAGGGTAAACTAGTCACATTCTCAATGTAAGGGTAAGGGTAACAACAACATACCAGACAAAAAGCCTTAACATCCAGAAAAAAAACAATATGGTTAACATAATTGGGGGCATCCATTATAAACTTTAATAAAAATCATCCATTACATATGTTTTACTATCATGTAGCATCCATCCATTTTGTATACCAATAAATGTACCTAAAAGCCTGAAAAATATCCAAACAAGGCAAGCCATAATGTAACACTAAAACATGTACCAAAAGGGCTACCTATACAATTTCCCAACTGTACAATCCCTACTTTTTCCCCCATATACCTAATCTAACCACTATAAATCTACTAGATACCTAGATGTGGAACCCCATCCATCTTTTTCAAACTTTTTAGGATGATGCTTTCTAAGGGCTTTCTTGTCATTCTGAGTTGCACATACCCTTCATCATCAACATATTTTCCCTCCATATCTGCTCCATCATCCTCACCATCACCCTCACCATCGTCCTCACCAGCTTCATCACGTTCACCAACTCCATCACCCTCACCATTACCCTCATTTGCCTCCATCACACCATCATTTATAAAACCATCACCCTCATTTCCCATTACACCATCAACATATGGAATATCCTTAATTTCATTTACATCCTATTAATCATAATTTAAAAAATACTTATTTATAAAGGATATAAATAGTTTTATACTAGTTATTAGAACTTAGAAAATGATGAAGTGAAACTAACAATCTCAATTGGTGGCATATCATCAACTTCAAGTTGTACCTTTCATGCCTCAAGTAGGTCCACAAAACTTTCTAGATTCAGCTTCACAATCTTTGAGAGAACATCACTTGCATTTCCTTCAATGAATTCAGGTTTAGGATTATGCACATTTTTAGATTGACTTTTTTCATCAGTACCTTGAAGAATAGCATCCATTACATCTCCAACCTTGTAAAGTTTTTTTTAGGCCATGTTCAACATCCTCAACACCTTTTTCATAATTACCTTGAATAATAGCATCCATTGCATTGATAACTTCATCACCTTTCTCATTATTAGCCTTTAGTTGGCTAAAAACTACTTCATAAGTGCACCTCATATCAACTAAACTATCATAATCAATATATTCATTTTCAAGAGAATCTTTCATTTTCTTATGAAACCCCCTACCTTCAAAATGAAAATCTATGACAACATGCTCATCATCTAGAACTCTACCTACTGCAATACTAACCAACTTCTTTTTCTTTTAACATATTTAGAACCCGATGGCTTTGGAACTAGTTCCTGCCTCTTAGACCTATCATATGATTTTTGAGTAGCTTCACATTTTTCCTTCCTTAGTCTTACTTTCTTCTTTGGTAGCATAGGAAATGGTTCCCTAGTTTGTAACAATCCGAAATTTCCATATCATTTATTGTAACTCTTTCGTAGTACAATTCGCGCAACCGATCTTCGTTCCGATTTCGATTTCCGATCTTCCGTATAGTTAAGTCATTATCTGGTACACATTTAAAATGACTTAATGGGTGTCTTAATACATTTGAAAATCATTTTAACACCCTACTTTAGTGATCGGAATAATTCTAGAATTTACCGTATCGGATTACGGTAACTCAATCGGGTACGACCAAAAACCCCGTCTAACGCCGGTATCGGGTAGAATTCCACCGTGTCCAAAACTTAAACACTATATAAACATGTTTAAGACTTCATTTGAAGCCTTTTGGCAAGTTTCTCACTAAACTCTTACAACCTCTCTCCTCAAGCTAGAATTAAGGTCCAAATCTCAAGTTTAAGGCTTCAAATCTTTAAGGTAACCTCCCTAGCATGTTATTCATCATCTTTAACCTTCAAATTGATGAAATAATTGAGTTTTAGGTCCAAGAACATGAGTTTACGGCCAAGGAACAAGCTTGGGCCGTAAACTCCATTAAATGGGGTTTTAATCCCTTAAACTCCTTCCTAAACTCAATTGGACTCTAGATATGGCTATGGGACTTCAAGATTTGGACTCTAAACAATTAAAACATAGATTTTGATTCATTTGAAGGAGTTTACGGCCAAGGAACATTCTTGGGTCGTAAACTCATATAATTAGGGTCTTCATGCCCTTAAACCCTTCCAAATCACTTCTATGGCTTAGATATAAATTATAGGACCTTGGTTTTAGCATTTGGACACTTGAAACATGAATTTTATGGGACTTATGTGAGTTTATAGCCAATGAGAGTGCTTAGGCCGTAAACTCCCCAAAATGTGACATAAATCCAATTCTAAGGTGTTAGAAAGTCATCCAACACCACCAAAAGCCTTGGAATAAATCAAGGGACCAACCAAAAATACTTTAAGGGCCTAAAACACATCATTTGTGGGATTTATAAGAGTTTACAGCCAAGGCTTGTTCTTGGGCCGTAAACTCCAAAACTTTTGGTGTTAGAATGCAAACTAAACACCCTAAAGCCTTTAGATGAATTTTAGAAGCCCTTCTATGCAAGTTTTAGACCTTGAAACACTTTGTATGACCCTACATAAGAGTTTACGGCCATGAGGAGGGTCTCATAGGCCGTAAACTCCATAACACCCCTCAAATGTCCCACAAAACTCATGTAAGGTCTTGGAATAATTCTAGTAATCACATGTGATTTGTTTTAACAACATTAAACATCATTTTCATGAAGATTAAGGAGTTTACGGCCAGGAGCCTATACTGGGCCGTAAACTCCCATAAAATAATCATTTTTGATGATTTAAACTCATTCCAAGTGTTCCAAGGCAATTTAGATAATCCATTCTAGCAACCCTTATGTCCATTTGAGCCCTTAAACCATCAAAACAACACCCACATGAGTTTACGGCCGTAAACTCATGTATGTGTGTGTTTTATGGTTGGAAACTCTTTAAAATGTTTACTCTTGGGAGTAAACTCAAGTCCCAAGTCCCTAGTGCCATTACAAGTCCGAAGATGTCACCCGGGTCACTCCAAACGCTCGTTTTGAGGTGTTTAACCTCATTGGAGTGTAATGTTCCATATGATTAGTGAATGTATCTCTAATTGTATATATATGGACATTATATCATTTTACATAGGGTCATCGCGAGTAATCAAACCCCAAACCGACGTATAGCATTCAAAACCGACACGTTTCCGAGTCCAGTGAGTTCATACCCCTACCCTTTTTCACTATTTTCACTGTTTTCAGGGGGGGAACACAAGCAAAGTACAAGGGAATCCTTGTACTCAAAACATGTTTTCAAATGTGTGTTTCATATTACAAATGCTTTTATTACTGATTACCATATCCGATAACCACTTGAACATACAGATCAAGTAACATATATTTGTGAAATAGGTTTTTAAACTAGTATGTTATACATATATTTCACAAATGGTTTCATACATTTTATCAGTTAAAAGCAAGACATCTAAACATTTGAACATAATACCTGTACACTGTTTCATCCTCGGTAACACTCCACACACATACGCGAGTGGAGGATTATTAACATATTATTACTAGTAAATTTGTTATTCCTGTATGATTGGAGACACGCCCTCGGAGAACACTCCACCCAGGTTACGCGAGTGGAGGACTACACCCATAACCAGAATCTCTGGTATGTAGAGAGCGTGACTTGAGTGTATAGATCTATACGGGGCTGACTACCCCACACCTGGCTGCTAGCTACAGCCGAACCGAAATGGTTCAAGGGTGACGAAAGTCATAAGTATGTGGTCGACTTATTGCCACGTGTGTACTACTTATTGCCACAGGTTTCAGTCTATTGTATGGTTATGGAACTCGCAATTAGGATAACAGAGATTTACTTACAGTAATAATGGGTTACTTTATACATCGTTTACATCTTTTACATCTTTTACTTACTGTAACTAACATTCAGGAAAGTACGGGACTTTCCTGGGGAAAACATGGAACCTAATCATGATTACATTTCTACATCTTTAACATCGTTTACATTAGATACATACATGCAGGAAAGCATGGGGCTTTCCTGGGTAATACCTACATAACTAGAAAGAGTATCAAACTGGATAACATTACATCTTTTACAATTTGTAACATACAATAAGGAAAGTATGGGACTTTCCTGGTAACACATGATAAGTAAACATAACAGTTCAACCAGTCAGATAACCAACTATACATTTTCACAGGAATAAACATATTTTCAGTGTACAAACTTACTATACTTTACATTTGTGAAACAATAACCAACTTTTAAGAAAATATGGGATTTTCTTGTTGTACATAACATTTCAGAAACCGAAAGGAAACCGATACATTTTCATAAAACAAAACCGCTTATGAACTCACCAGGTTTATGCTGATTTTCAAACCGCTTGTGTTCTCAGGTCGACGTTAGAACAGGTACCCGAAGATCCTTTTGCTCGAAGACGGAGTACATGAAGATCCGTTTCATTTTGTCTATATATACTATGTATCACAACTGTACAAACTTTACTTTTGAAACAACTGTAAAACTGTTATTATGTAATGTAATGGTTTTTTTACTTTACTTACTATGTACATTGGATTTGATACTCAACGTGGTAGTCAACCCCGGAAATGTTTTCCGCCTTCGGTTTTCGGGGTGTGACATAGTTGCATTCTCGCATCCTTTTTGTTATGGATTTTCTACTCTTCTTGTACCAAATTTTTGTTCATTTTCACTTACACGTCTCCTTATATTGACCTTTGGCCTACCAGGAATTCTCCTTGACATTGATGATAGGAGCTTTATGAAGTCAGTTTGAGGCCATAGATTTGAACCACCACGAGAATTTTGTTAGAAGAGTAACACTTAAGGAATATATCCTTGGAAAACATGTCATTAATATACTCATCAGGTGTTTGATGAATATAGTTGATGGTTGCAATAGCATAAACTCATGGGATCCCAACCAAATTCCATAACATGCAAGTATAGTGCCTTCCATCCAAACCCACCAAGTAGCTATCACATCCTCTCCTTGCCTCAAGTACATGTTCTTGACTATGAATTATTAATCAAAACCTACATGCACAAGGTTAATGTTAGTATGTTAAAGTGTTACCTCATGAAATTGAAACAAAAGTTACATGTTAGTGTGTTACCTCATGTTTGTCCCAAAAAACTTCATCTTCTTTAATGATGTTGGACAGATATGGGTATTCCATTTAGCGAATTCCTCAATCATGTGAGAAAAACTATTCATAAAGTATATCCTTATTTCTTCAAGCATTGTGATCAATTGTTTTTTCTTAGCATCCACAATGATGGAGTTGAAGCACTCTAATATACCATTCTCCACTACCTCACAAGCATACCTTACAATCATGTAAGCTATACACCATGTTTGGGGTTCTTCGGACGTCAGATTATCATATGCACTAGGATTAAGCTTTCTAATTGCATCCATGTGTCTCTTGAAGTCAACTTCCACAAAATTCATAGTTGTAGCCCAAAACAACTTCTTGAACTCCAACCCAATGTAATCTTTTCTAAAATTTACATATATTTGTTGAGCACATTGCTCGTGATCACACATGTGGCAATATATCTTTAACATATTAAAAAAAACTATAGATAAACCATCATACAGGTAAGTATTTATCTGTACTTTGAAAATAATTCATAGTTTAGATGGGAACTTACTTTATGTTAATATGATGTAACCACCAAGCCCCTGTCATTAATAAATTATAAATCAACAGTGAGGAGCTCAAGAAACCATGTCTAGTTAGACTTGTTTTCCCCATCCACAATAGCTCAAGCTATTAGATAGACCTAGTTGTTGGCATCACTACCAATGGCTGTTAGCAAGTCACCCTTCACCTGATCCTTTAGAAAGCACCCATCAAGCCCAATCACTTTCCTACACCTTATTTTATAGCTAACACTTAATTCTTTGAAACAAATGTAAAACATGTGAAAATAATTCTTTCCATTTGGATTCGTTGATACACCAACTTGACATGTGGACCCTGTGTTTAATCTTAACAATTCATGGGCATAATCCTGAGATGTTTGGCCCATTTCTATTCCCTTCTAACTTGTCCTATAGATATTACACATATTATTGTTTGATGTCAGTAATCATTTCCCAAATTTCCTCTTTGGCTTATTTGCAATTTCAGTCACATAAGG